TTCTAGTATCATGTATTAGTATAGCTCGTTTACCGCAAGTTATGGTAAGAACGAGTGAACTTTATGAGCTATGCTTAGGATCAGCTTCTATGTCCTTTCGATCTGAAGACTTGAACTCATTTTGATAGCACTTCTTACGTAAAACCTTCAACGATACTGTTTTCAATAGAGTTTCTAGCTCACATAACAAACAAAGGGCCAAAATGAGAGCTACACATTATAGTATCCTTTGCTGTAATGTAATCATAGATGAAGAGTAGAAGAAGCTCGCTTTCTTTGCTGTTCAGTAGCCTAAAAAGAGTTGACGACAAATCGTCGAAAACTGTGCATGCATCGTATTTTTTCTTCGCCATCGTAAACCTTTATCAATAATGAACAGAATGGAGGTAGTTTTGGATTTTTTCCTCCATAAATCACTGTAGGATACATGATCGAAGTTGACAATAGTTCGTTACGAACTGGAATTTTCTCCATCGGAGTTTCTGAAGGACTAGGTGAAATTGCAGCTATGATAGGTATTCGCTTAGGACTTTGATACGTCATAGATTCTCAAATACAAATGATTACACCTACTTTCTGCTGAAGGCAAGCATACAATTTAATGTAATTCAAATAGATGAATCAAGCCTGTTGAGTATATTTCTCTCGAGCTAGCTTGGTTAAATTTGTTTAAGGACTCTTTAAGTAGTTGAACTATGATTAATTAACGGCGCCATGTTGTAAAGTCACCTGACCTGACTCCATATGTGCCTAAACCATCCTATGCCATGCCCTAAGCCGCTCACTATGATCTGTACCTATGCCCGAATAGATCAGAGCGAACAGTTCACTAATAAACCATAGACAGTATTTACCTCTTACTTATAACTGACTGACTTTTCTTACTCTGTCGAATTCCTCTGACTTTAGGCCCATAACTACCTCTGAATCCCGTAATCCTGACTGACTGACTAACATGATTACTTGCTTCTTTATGGTACTATGGTTCTCTACGTTATGACCTTAGTCAACTCTCTGACTCTGCCTATCGGAACTAACTCTATCTTGTTTTCGGAAATGGCGCTCATTTACACATCTCAAGCAATTCAGTACTGGACGCGTAACTGCCTCCTTTGGATCGGTCAATTTATCTGTCAACAAACCACAATGTGGCAGGATGTGACAGGAAAGGTAATTTTATCAGCTATAGACATGTTTATTTCGGGACGCTTGCCGAACAGTAATTTTTGGTAACGTGTCCTTGGCTGTAGTATAAAAGGGAGACGATAAAGAGAAATAAAGCAGGCGAATCTTTCCCCAAGAAACTAGCTTAAGTTTGCAACGACTTCAAGAAAAAGCGTATTCATCAAAAACATTGATATAACCGAATACACTCGCCACAATACATTTTATTATCAAAGTCAATTTAACCATAACGTTTTGGTGCCTTCTACCAGAATGTGCATACTCGTTCGTTTGAAACCCCAAGATTACAACCCTATCAACGCGTAAAGAAACAACGGATTCTTACCGGCGATTACACTTCTATAAATCCCAACATAAACCTTAAGAAAACCAAAAAACAAACGAAAAATGAAATCCCTACCAATGCCTAGGTACTCCCGCAAGGAAAACCCAGAATGTTGGCTGGAAACGTTCCAAGCAACTGCCAAGGTCCAGGGCTGGACCTCTGATGAGGATAAGCTTATGGTTATCCCGATGTTCTTCAAGTCTGAAGTACGAAACTGGTTCTACGATGGTGGATACACTGAATTCAAGGATTTTTCCGAGGCATTCGTGGAGCGATTCGGACTGAAAATGAAGAAATACGTCCCGTTAAAGAAACTGCTGAATATCAAGAAGAGAAACAAGGAATCAGTGCAAGCATATGCGGATCGGTTCCGACATTGGAAGGTCAGGCACGACATGCAAGTAAACAAGGACCCATCTGGGGCGTGCCTGTCGGAACGTGATATGTTACAGCGGTTTGTGAACGGACTGAATCCGAAGCCACTTCGTCAGGCAGTTCGGGCAAAAAATCCTAAGAATCTAAACACGGCGATTCGTATGGCGATTGAATGGAAAGAGGATGAGGATGACTCATTCAGCGACTCAGATGAAGGCCCGGCGTATGGAGACCAAGACAGTGAAAACTCTGGTAGTGATGTTGAAGAAAAGCCTGCCAAGGCTCACAAGAACCGGAAGAAAGCCACCCAACTTAGGGACGAAGCAGTTGAGTCCCTTACGAAGAAAATTGAGGAAATGAAGATCATCTTGATGAAGCAAGTTCCGAGCAACAGAGAGTGTTTCAATTGTCAAGCTCCTGGCCACGAAGCAGCGCAATGTCAAAAACCCTGCAAGTTGTGTAACGGGCAAGAAGGAGCTAAGGATCATGCATTCTTTGAATGCCCAAGATATTAACCCAGAGTGAACCCGAGGAAGAAATTCCTGGTTGATGGAAGCATCAACCTAAGGAAGAGATGGACCATGAAATGGCAATCAAACGTGGACACGAGATAGCTACATCCGATCCAGGGTTGACTCAAGTACAGAAAAAAATCAAGGTTGCCGACCTGCTGCAGAAATCTCGAATGGGCGGACAGCAAGAGGGTGCTCCGTCACCCACTACGACTCAACGTCAAGAGCCATTCAAGCCACAGGAAGTCCAAGAGGTTGGTGAACCGGTGATGGAAATTGTGCAAAAAGCGAAGGGGGAATCGAAGGAGAGGGTGATGGAAGTGTCAAATAAACCTCAGCAGACTTCGGTGATTGAGGATGTGATGTCGCAGAAAGTTTTGAAACTGTCATTGAACCAATTGACAAGCATATCACCATCTGCTCGTACCGAATTAAAAAGTTGACTAAGAAACATCGCAAGAAGCGAGTCAAGCAGAAGCTGAGCGCTTTAGTTATTAGCGAGACTCCGAGTCATGGAGTACGTCGAGCCTCGGTAATTATAAACAACATGAGGGTGGAAGCTGTGTTGGATGGCGGATCTTCCCCTAAAAACACGAGCATAAGTTTGCAATTGTATTATCAGAAAGCGTATTCTTTACAAGTATCAGTATACTGTTTATTAGCAATTATTTTGCGCCAATAAAAAAATAAATTAATATCACGATATAAGAGCAGAGAGCCTGAAAATTTATTCTTGAAATCATTAGTAACTTAAGCATGGCAGGAGAACAGATTCAAACAGATATACTCACAGATAAGATAGTGGAGATATAGGTGTTTTTGAAAGGCAATCGTCAGAAAATGAATGAAATGCAAAACATAAAAAACTACAATTACCCTCCTCCGAAGGATCATTGGTATTCCTGGCCTAACCAGAGTGCCAGCCGCCGCATCGTGTTCAGATGGGCGCGGCGAGTAAGTTCCTTTGAGAGAAAACAGAATTAGTGCTGTGAAATATCTGAAATTCTGATAGGAAGTTAAAACTTACGTGGTGATATTACGGAAAAAAAAAAACGCGATGGTTTATAACAAAAAAAGATGGGTTGGCCATCTTTTATAACAGATTACGGGAGAACTGCACCTATGATAATGAGCGTCAAGTTAATTACGATTGTGTATGATTAGATACGTTGAATTAAAACATATATGTATGCGGTACTCACCATCAGAGTGCCAGTCCT